TAAAATTTGATATATATATTATACCTTGTATAACGCATCAATTTGAGAAATATTGAATTAAAATAGCTTTTTCCTCTAATGTACATAATTTCTCTTCCAGTTAATTTACAAAATATCGTCTTTATCTCATCAGAAAATGTTCAAATATTTCTACTGAAAAACTTCCGAATGCAAAGAGTTAATAGTAAGTTATAAATGGTAAATTGGTAAATTTAAATTACAAATAGTTATAATTAACTTATAATTTAAGTTACTAATAATTACTAATAATTTAACTTACTTCTTACAGCTTTATCTCATCAGAAAATGTTTTCTCATCAAGAAATATTTCTAGTGAAAAATTTCTGAGTGCGAAGGGTTAAAAGGTGGGGAGGCGCGAAAAAAAAGATTCTTTTTAGAGAAGCGTAGTAACATAAACGTTGGAAACCTCTGGTGTAAACGCACCATTAGGCGATTAGGTCTGCGCAGCGTTAAATTAGCGATTCATAGATTGACATGTCCCGTTGCGGTATGATCGTGGATCTACGGGGTCGAGCACCGCGTAGGATAATTCTATGATGGGCCGTGTCATTAGGAAGAAGGAGAGAGCGGGACCGGCCTTGCGCAACGGGCACAGGCTCGCCGCAAATGTCGTCAAAACCGAGCCCTCCAATTAAGTCGAGCAAAAGTGTTCTTATCGGTCTAATTAGCGAGCAGCCGCTCCGACGACGCATCTCGCCGTCCAATTTTCCGCCCGTGCCTCCGCTCGATCGGCTGTCGACGGTGTCGCGATTCATTATCCCACGGCAATCATGAGAATCTCTTCTCCGCTTCGCGACAGACGCGCGTATTCTTTAATGATCGCTTCTAAATTGACGAGAGACATAAGACACGCTTTAAGCCCCGGGATGCTGTAATTTAGCCGCCCGGAATCGCGCTTTCGCAACATTTCATTGGATCATATGGATTGTCTCCTGACGAGCTGTAATTTTCAAGCTAAAAGGAATTTAGCTTGGAGGATCATGTCACTGGAGGAGCTGTGAAACGTAAGTTTAACTAAGAGTTTGAAGAGAAGTTTAGAGTCGGCTGGTAGAATTAGTGTCTTGGGTCTTAGTTACTTTATCACTTGTTCTTGCTACAGATTCTCATTACTTCACACTTTGGTGATTTACTTACGCGTTATCCAGTTGCCCTAGAATATAATGTAGTTTTTAATGTAGCTAGAAGCTCGACGTGGTTAAAAAAGTCTTAGTAGACGAAGAGACTCAAGGTCACTTACAGAAAAGTTTGCACAAGGAGGGGATTGCTTTCAGGTATAAGAGAAGTGATTGGCGTTGATGAAAAGAATTAGTTGCAACGAAAGTTTAGTTGTAGTCAGAATCATAGTGAATCAATGTAGTTGTCAGTCGAGTTGCGTGTTGTTTTTAGTTGTCATTGTAATTTTTTGGTGATAATCACGAGTTTTTGAGACCTTGTCGACAATTAGCCGATGATTACTTTGTATTTCGTATTTTCATCGTATTTCTACACTGTTTTACAAGTTTCTCTTTTATTTTATTCCACCTCTTCGAGTTCCTTTTCGGGGTTATCAGCTGAATCTGTAATGGTCAGCTATTAGTTTAGTTTATAGTCGAACCTTTCCGACAGCTCTGACAAATGGACGACCTCTAAGAGAAACCCGTTGTCCACCGGGCCTGACTTTTACTTTCTTGCAGAAACGATTGAAAACGAGCGCATCGTTCGCTGACGCAACAGCCATCAATAAACATTTCCCCGTGCATTCCGACTGCTTGTATCGCTCCACGGGAACGGTACCGTTTTCTGCGTGAAAGCAATCGCGAGCGTGGTTCTCGTAAATCGACACGATTCCCTGTTGAGAACCGGCGAAAGGATGAGCTACGCAGCGTCCAGTTACGCGAGAAGCTCCTGTAAACGATCGCCAAACCTGAACGAGGATGGACGATCGTCGATCGCCGTTACTATTAAGCAATTAACTAGTAACGAATCCTCTGGCTTCAATTCTCGGAGATTATAGATTAGAGATTAGACATCATTGGAACGATCGACGAAGTTGAAAAATTATGAATTAAAGGCTGTGGCTTGGTTAGTGATATTCATTTTTTATTAACACTAACCATACCAACACTTTTCCCACCGTAACTAGCCAAATAACTAGCTACAAAAGAGAGATAAACAAATTACATGACACATTTTTTTCGAGGAAACAGAAACAATAGGAAGGATGAAAATTGAAAAACTAATTAATCGGGCAACATAGGAACTAATATAAAATTAAATGAACAAAAGGAAACGCAAAATTTTAAATCTGGTCATTTTTCCGGTTCCCGGTACGGTTAGTGTTAACTAACTCTTCTGATTTTTGGGAATTATTCAAAAAATGCTCACTGTAATTGATGCAACGATTTGTGGGAATCTTTGGTGACATGATCGACTAAAGAACTAATAAAGGAGAAAGATTGTGCACTAAACCTGAGAAATAACTGGAAAACTTGACTACTACTACGAGATGAACTGGAACGGTAACTGATCGAAGTGGTTAAGCATCGATGTTCTTTTAGGAGCATAAAAAGATCTATGGTTATCCAAGAGTACATTGGACTTCTTCGTTGTGGTTTACAGTTACGAAACGGTTTGGAAATTCTCTGAAAAAAGTTGTCCGAGGCGAGGAACGTAACGTCGCATATGGGTCAAGACCTCAAATAATGAATAAGGAATTAGAGAGAACCACTGTTCGGCCATTATTGAATTCTTATTGAGAAAGGTCGGTGACTAGTCTTCCTCGTGACGGTAACACGACCTCCATGTTGGAACGAGGCCAAAACGAAAATCCGACGTTCCCCGACGAAGAGAGAAAGTTGTTTTTGTCATTTCGGTGTTCCAGATCACAATGGCTCCACGGCAGATTCCTCGCCGATTACTAAATAATCTATACCCTGTTCAGATTAACATCCAGTTTGAGATCGAAGGAACACCGACGAAGAAGAAAATTTGATAAAAATAAAAAGTACATACTGTCCTCCAAAGGAAAAAAACGGATCATCTCTTTGACGTTCGTTTAAAGTATTGAATAAATATTCATTCGTTATTGTATCTATTTCGTGACATAGAATTTAGAAAGCAGAACTGGAGGATGATCGTATCAGAAGCTAAAACGAAAATTATTTGATTCTCCAGATAAGGATTATAGTTGACTTCCTCCGCGGTAATTTATCTTTAAGGATTGCTATTAATCGCTGAAAAATGCGTTTGTAATGTCGTTCAATTTAAAAGGTAGCATAGAAGACCCGTGATCTAGCGAGCGATCGCTAAATGGACCGTTTCCTTCGAGTACCATTCACGTCACCGCGTGAATGCGTCGAACCCTGTGATCCTATCCGGAGACTTCAATGCCGGGAAGTGCTTGTGCAACGCGCGTCGCTCTGAACCATGAGAAAATCCGGCATAATCGACAGAAAATCAAACAGAATCCTACTGAGTTATTAAAATATTACTTCTGACCGGTCCGTTCAAACATTTGCGGTTTTATGTTTCAGTGATACCAAATGGAATCGAATTAACACGGCTATTACTTTAACACTAGAACTATCAGGTGGGTCAAAATGACCAATTCCTAATTTCTTCTTTTAGAATGACTGCAAACCTGTAGAATGACTGTAATACCTACACTGAAGTATAAACCAATTGAAATGTTAATAAATTCACGCTTATAGCTTTTATAAAGACATTTTCAAAAGAATGTTTAATTGCTCGGTAGTTCTAGTGTTAAGAGTATGATTATACGCTTAAAATACAGGTAAACCGTATGACATCTGCGGTGCTGGCTAATTGGACTAAAACAGAGATTCGCAAATTTATCCAAATTTGAAAAAGCAGAAATATCTAAGTACTTTCTTTTACATTAGATCACGAAATTGTATTTAGTAGAACAGTTTCACTAAACTACCGACAAAATGACTGCCATAATCCTTTGCACTCGACAATATTTCTCGTTATAAATATTCATTATTTTCTGGTGCAATGGATATTTCTTGTAACTAACACGAACACCAATCTTGTGGAAATTAGGGAATAGAACTACTTTATTTGAATGCTCCATGATATACTATACAAAATATAATATTAAATTCTAGGTTTTACAATTTTACTATATTGAATTAGGTGGTCACTGATAATCGCCTCTCAAGTGCAAAGGATTAATAACGATATCGCTTACAGTAATATTTATTATTACATAAAAATTATAATAGAAGCGTACACTTTGTCATAAATGATAAACATATAGAAAGATGCTACCCGAAGTTACTGCGTACCTTTAGAGATTAAAAACCAAATAAAAATCTTCTTTATAGTAAGTTTCGTTATACTAATATCTAAGGTTCAATAATGTCAACCTGAACAGAGACTTTTTGTGGTATCATCTTATATAGCTGAACATGTGATATATTGTTAAAATAATGAAAACCGTTTGGTGCTGCCATCTATTCGTAGCATCTGTGAACCCCTTTATATACGCATCCCTCAATACATAGCTGATGATTTATAGTTACACCTTTTCTCCTTTGTACACTTCACTATTATTCTACACAAAAGATCGTATAAAATTTTATGCAAAATCAATTTAAGCCCTTTACAAATACTTCATCCGATGGTGTCAAAAATGAAATAAAATGTTCTTAAATATTCTGTAATTTTTAAATTTTAATTCTTTAATTTTTTATTGCATTCTATTTCTCTATCACTATCTATACATGTATGTTATATTGTTAATACATAAAATTTGAATTTTATTCTTGAATAATTTCGATGATCACATCAGTTAAATGTCATGGTCGCCGATTAAATATTAAAATAAAATATGAATCATTTAGGAACCGTATTGTTGTAAACGAATACACTGATCCAATAAAAATAGTATAGTGTCATCTTGTATACATATATATATAACATATATGTTATATGTACATATGTGTGTTAACACGGAAACCTGTTTTCAATAATCAACGCCGGTTCCCGAAGCCTCAGTATCGTTTCAGCTGGCGAGGACATCACGCACGATCGCCATGAACGCTCATCTCGTCAAGTCACTCTTCTTTGTTTCAGTCTTTAACCTTTTCCACGATAATTTCGCGCAATACGTGCCACCTACGCCCACCATCGAACCGCTTCTACCGAAAGGATTGCGAATTTCCATCCCTCGTAAGTTAATGTTAATAACATCCAGTATTCATTATTCATCGACATCATTCACTCAGAAAATTATCGGAGAAAAATCTTTCGGTAGCTCTTCCTTCCAATATTAAATTAATTCTTGACTGAATGTTTAACACGAAATGCAATATATATTCGAAAAGAATAAACGAAAAGATAGGATTATCAAATGATTCATTACAGAAAATATGAGTGGAGCGTACATTGCTCAATTGTTTGAAATGGGAATTCCAGAGATTCAAAGATCTAGAGATGGAAATACAAAACGGCTGCAATGAGGAAGGAATTTTAAATAACGTAGTTTGCAAATATGTAAATTACAGTATCAGATATGCTATTAATCTACCGCGATGAATGGATTTTATTATGCAATTGCTGTTTACCGAAAAATTTCTAGTTTTCGTTTATCGACAAAAATATTCTGATCCGACCTCTACGAGTTAAATCGCGCGCAGATTGCGCCTTGTCTATCAATAAAGTCCGCCTACTTCTTTGATAACCGTAATTTGCGCCAGAAACAGGACTCGGGGAATACGAGAATTTTTAATCTTCAGATAAACGTGCAAATAAATTGAAATATTACGTAAATCGTAATTCGATAAAGCTTTTATTTTCCTGTAGATAAAACTTCTCAGAATGTGAATGATTCGATGTACATTATGAGTTCAATGAAGTCGTTAAATTAGTCGCGATTAACACGTGGTATGCCATCGGGGTCAGCAGTGACCTCAACCAAATCGAATTACTAAAATTTATTCAATTGAACGATGATTATTTGGAAACTTTTCTGTATTATTAGTAGTACTACTTAATGTAGCGACATTCAGCAAGATGAACCTGCAATAACAATAACAGCATTTCAATTAAATAATTTGATATTAGATTATTTTCATTTTGTATATTTTTCTCGGCAAAATCATGCGGCACTCGAGGTGTTGATCTACCTGGAATAACTAACGAAAGAAATAATCATATAATTAATGATCTCTTTCTAGATGAGGATGGAATTTCTTTAGTCGCCTATCACGTGAAATTCAACGAGGATTTCTACAGCCTCGAAGCGGGGACCATCGCTGTGGATATTATAAAAACTAAAAATGGCCGCTGGACTTACGAGGATCGCAGGACTAAACTGAAACCTGGGGATGTCATTTATCTATGGGTTCACGTGGTCTACGAGGGTCTTGGTTACAATTTACTAGATCAACAACACGTGGTCGACAGTTCGTTTCCGTTGCAAATAATTCACTCTCTTCTGCACGATATTTCCAATTACAATGATGAAGATTATTACTCGTCCATAATCGACAAACGATACAGCATGATTCATAAATCTGTTAAACAAGTGAATATAAAGTGAATTCTCTATGAAAAGAGAAACTAAGGGAACGATGATTAACGATAACGTTTTTGTATCATTGAAAAGTAAATTTTCCTTCAATTCCAATTTTACTAAACTACTTAGTTTCGATATAGGTAGTAACAATATTTTATAATATATTATTTTTATTATTAGTAATTGTATTATAGTTTTATAATAATTACTATACTAGCAAATTTGTGTAGTACACTCAGAAAATTGAAAATTTTTACATCACAGCAATCTAGTGATCATTAACTTCTTCTTGTGCAATCATTTTTCTATGTTCACTGGAGATGCTACCGATAACTGAATTAAAAATATCATTCCTCCTCCCAGAGTTTTATAATTACGACGGCACGCAAGCAGGCGGCGGAACGCCTGGCGGAACCTGCACCGCAAATTCCGAAACGAGGATGTACATTCGTGACAAGGAGACCCAGGAACTAAAACGCTCCAACGTGTGCGCTGGCCAATTGATCTTCGAGGAAAACTTTGACTCGCTCGATCCTAATCGATGGAAGACCATTGAACGTTTCTCGCCATCGGTGAGTATAGCTACCGCTAACCGGTTCTCGAGTGTCTTATGTACATATTCCTACTGTCAAGATAAATAGAAAGAACTGTTCAATGTCCAGTATTTTAGTTAACGAACAGAATTCACGTAAAACCACCACTGAACGCTGAAATTCTACAAATCGATGCAGATCCATTGCATCGGTCGATGGAAACATTTTGATGATTCTAGTTTTTAGATTTACTTTAGTAGCTCGACTGTTCGCTGGCTAAACCAAAACTAAATAAAAACGAAGAGAGAAGTGTTCTTCGTACACGTGATAATAATTTGAAATATTGATATTCGTTTCGAAGAAAAAGATACTTTTCGTTCGCCACGTACAAAACAAGTGAAAATGTTTGCATCGAACCAACAGAATAAAATCTTATTTATTCGTTTCAGAACTACGAGTTCGTCGTGTACATGAACAACGAAGAGAACGTTTATTTGAAAGACGGCGCGCTGCACATTAATCCGACACTCGTTAAAGAGAAGTTCGACTTCACATTTGTACAGGATGGTACCTTGACATTAACTAAGTAAGAACACGATTTTCTGGATGAGTTTCTTTTTCCTGCATCATTCGAATGGCGTTTCATTTGTATATTTCGTTTGCCAGGTGTACAGGCCAAGCTAACACCAACGAGTGCTCACGTACTGCGAGAGCCTGGGACATTTTGCCTCCTGTTATCTCAGGACGACTGAATACCAAGCCGTCTTTCAGCTTCCTGTACGGGAAAATCGAAATTCGTGCTAAATTACCACGTGGCGATTGGATATACCCCTGTACGTTGAATGTGCAATCCGAAACGAGTATTTACAATGTTGTGATTATTGTTCTCATTTTCACGTATTCCGTTTCAGTGCTCACTCTAGAGAACGAGGAGATTTCGGCGAACGGAACCTCCTTGTGTAACATCATAATCGCGAATTCGTTAGGCAATCCACTACTCGTAACAACCAGTAAGCGAGACATAGGCGGCCATCTGCTTCAAGGCGGCGCGCACGCAGTGAACGTGCAGGGCAATACAGCGCAGGACAATCGCATGCAATTACCAACGAAGACGTTGGATTCTCTGTGGTCCGATGATTACCATGTCTATGAACTGGAGTGGGGGAACGGATACATCGTTCTTCGGGTCGATGGCGTACAATATGGTGAACAGAAGGTGCCTGCTACGTACGATGTTCCAGTAAGTGTTATATTGAATGAACACGTTTTGGAACTTTGAGTTTAGAAAGAAATTTATTGTACTATCGATTAATCCTTTGCACTCGAGAGGTGACTCTCATTCACCGCCAGATTTCATACAGTAAAATCATAAAATTTGATATTTAATATCATACCTTGTATAACGCATCAATTTGAGAAATACTGAATTAAAATAGCTTTTTCCTCTAATGTACATGATTTCTCTTCCAGTTAATTTACAAAATATCGTCTTTATCTCGTTAGAAAGTGTTCAAATATTTCTACTAAAAAACTTCCGAGTGCAAAGGGTTAATAGTAAGTTATAAATGGTAAATTAGTCAATTTAAATTATAAATAGTTATTATTAACTTATAATTTAAATTACTAATAATGACTAATAATTTGACTCACTTATAATTTAAATTATTATTATACCAATACTTATATTCAGGTAAAAAGGATTTACACCTATTGTTAGCAAAAACTACATTCTATATGTTTTATGAAACATTAATAATTTACTTTGCACACGCATCTACGTTTGTCCATAGGTTTACATTAACATCGGCTTAGGAGTCGCAGGCCGCGTTGTTTTCCCCGACGGCAGCAGAAGCGGCAACGTCCTGAAACCGTGGAAGAACCTGGGCGTGAAGGTACTTCCAATCGAATTTCACCTGCCAGGCTATCGCCAAAGTAACGCTAACAGTACAACACTCTCCATTACAGGCGATGTACGACTTTTACACCGCTGACAGCGACTGGTTGCAGACATGGAAGCAAGGGGACGTTCAGCTTTTAGTAGACTACATCAAAGTACACGCTCTGTAGACGTTTTTGTAATACTAAAAATTAAAATAATTGAAATACTTCCACTAATCTGAAGATGATTTCCCGATTAGCATGCAGTATTTAGTCATGTAACAGCGAACAGGTTAACCCCTTGACTATTTACTTCCGCTACTGAGCTCCTGTAGTATTTTACTATTAACAATTTGGAAGAAATATAACAAAATTCTCTGCCCTACTTTAACTGGAAATTTCATTTGAAGGTAATAAATTGATAATAGTAAGTTCTTATCCTTTGATCCGTGAGAAATAAACAACATTGAGTTTGGTTAAATTGATCTAGAAATCTTCATCACGAGTCTCACTCGTCAATGTATGGCAAGGGATTAATCGGTCCATCGTGTACCATTGTATTCATCCGCATTTCGCTAAGGTACACGAAACAGGTGAACGTCAAAACGGTGGCGGCGGTGGTACCAAAATGGCGGCCGGCATAGGCTGCCGGAAAATGGCGTCAGGGTGGAAACCCGAGCCCAGTAGGTCAATCAACCACTCTCCGCGGTATCCGTAACGTCTTTGGTAATCGTAGGAAGCTTTCGGTCCATCCTCAGGCCGGAACACGAAGGACATCTTCTTTCTGGTATCCGGCAAAGCGACCAATCTCAAGAGTCCCTCGATGCTGTTCCGTGGCCATTCCCGCAATCTGCTGCCAGACCAGAGTGCCCGGAACATTCCTGACCATCGGGATGGAGAGAAATCGAACGGCAGTGTCCTGGCCACTCGCGTTTGGACCGTCGACTCGACCACTACACACATCTACACACTCGAATAGATAGATATCAAACGATGCCATAGCAACATCCTTTCCTCTGGTCACTGGATAGATCACTTACCGCGATAATGAATATTAAAGAAACGTTCATCGTATATCTCGTTACTTTTCTTTTGTTGTTCTTATTTGTTAGTTGATTCTGTTAGAACCTTCGGGCAAGAGGACACGGAATGAAGTATTCACGGTTTCATTCGGTCGTGTCACATTTATGCCGTCCGTTCGGGGGCAAGTGTCGTGCATAGAATATTGTCGATCAATTCGTTATTGTCATTCAACGAACGAAACCGGCGGCCATAGTTTTTCAAACCGCTCGCGCCTCGTTACCCCGGTCACTCGTACCCCTTTTTTTTACTTTCACTGGCATATGTTGCGCCAGAGTCCGGATTACTTCTTTTCTCGCACACGCGGACTTTGATAGCCGTTGCCGGGCAGGACGGGTTTAGTTGGTATTCCACGTTCATCGCGGCGTCATCGGCTCGCGCTCACCGCTACGTGACCATCGGCAGGCGGAACAACATGGATTTCCTTCGAAATTTGGTAGTTACGTCATTAGACGATCGTTGTATCGTTCGTATTATATTATTAAGCGAATGGTAAAGAGATTACCGGTATTCAGGGAGACAGCGAAGAATTTCTTGCAAGTAAAAAGTAATGCGTCGATGAGAAAAGGATCTTGACGATTGGAGTGACTTGTGTTTGTACTGTACAATTGGAATGATCGGAGAAGGTTCAATTGAATCGAATTCGAACAATGTTTAACAAGCTTTTAAACAACACTTGATACAATTCAGTGACATTGTAATATAGTAATGATTAATACTAGAACTACCGATCACTTAAGCTGATTTTTACAAACTTCTTTCTAATAACCATGAGTGTTCGTTTATTAAGATTTAAATTGACTTGTATCTCAGTTTTACTATTACCGAATTAGTTTCGTTAATTCTAGTGATAATACTGAAACTACCAAACGGATCAAAATGACCCTTTCCTGATTTTTTGTTGTTGCAATTATTAAAAAGATAACATGTTTTTTCTAACAAATGATTAATAAAATTGATTTAGGAATACGCAAACTAAACAATAAATGAATTAAAGCTTCAATAGATGCACTCTTGGAGTTTCTATAGAATTTCAAAATGTCAATTTAACTGCTCGATAGTTTTAGTGTTAAGGACTGGTTCACGTGACTTCCGCGGCCATATAATCTCGAACTGCTCCGGAGCACCCTTCGTTCGAGTAATTAATTCTCTATTTGATTTTAGATGATTCTGATTGTGCTCGTGCTGACGCTTCACAATGACAAATGCCTATCGACCGCCGAGCCTATTAGCCTTTTCTCATTCATACACGATTTAGTGCAAAGCAACATAGCTGGGGTACCGGTCATCCATGAGGCAAGTATTCTCTTCTGTGAAATAAGAAAAAAAGAAATAAAAAAAAATGTAAAATGAAAGAAGAAAAAGAAAAGAACGCAAACGAGATAGGACGGGAGACTCATACGACATTGAATTGAACAGCAAACCCAGTGGGATTTCGATCCTAATGTTGGGAAACAGAGACGGATCAGATACGAGAAGGAAAATGGACGTTACGGTGAAATTGCGATCGCGAAGATCGGCATGGGTATTGGATACAAAGGACCTTGGGGAACACCTGTGTGAAAAGAAATGTGTAAAAAATGTTAATGATTTGTAAATAGACATTACTTGAACATAAGCATTCAGATTCTGTTTAAAGCATATTTATACATCCGAAGATGAAATATATTATGATATATTATATAATATGCTATAAGAATAATAAATATAACTGCCCCTTTGATGTTCCATCCCCACCATAGAAAAGTACAGTAGTGAGAACCAAATTAGATCCGTGGTTCTATTCGATTCTAGTCTTATTACAAATATTAATAAGTATAGACATCAATTCCTTTATTGCTGGACTTGTACAGAGTGTTTTGCGAGAAATGGATAGTCAGAAGTACAATGCAAAATACTTTCTTAATATTAGAAATCTTATTTAACCCCTTGATCTACAATATTGTATCAGACTCGCGATAAAAATTGTAAATATTACTTTTCTATTGTCAATCGTGAACCTTTGGAGTAGACATAGACATAGAACAAGCATCAAAATTCTTTGTCCTAGTAAATTATTAATGATAAAGCAGTTTTATCGATCACAGTTAAGAAATAAATCATAGGGCAAGGGGTTTAGCAAAGAAGCAACTATTTACATGATTTCTTCCTTATTATAAAATCATTCCTTACGCATTGTACAAAGTAATATCCAGTTAAGTGTCTCAAACTTAAGACAGTCCTAACATCAATACATCTTACAGAATCACCTGGTAATTTCATTCATCGAACAAACCTCCGTCCACTTTTTATGAAACACTCTACACAAATTACTCTTCCAATGAAATAAAGATGAGCTGCAAATGTAAATGACTGATGACCATAATGCTTCTCCTAGAAATTTGCCCATGATTCTAACAAAAAGGAAATGCAACATCATTCCAGTTCTAACTCGATGACCTCCGTTCTTTCTTCGACCTTGAGTGATTCCATCATCAGCCGTCGCGTAATCGACTTTCATCGAATTTCATGGAACAACTGGGCCGCAATGGTTACGTTCAAGGTTCCTCTAAACGTGGTGCCGTCATGGTGCCTATGTACATATGTACTTAGGTGCGTGCAACCATCGAACGAAGCATTATGTGCCCCGTTCGACTTTCACTTCATCGTGTCGTCGAAAGAACGAAGTGGGGATGTGAAGCGAAGAGAAGAACAGTAACGGATTCTCCGGATAAGGCTGGTGAAACACGGAATCAGAAAAACGGAAACAGACCGATCGTACGGGTCGTAGTAATCGTGTTCTCCGAGTTTTCATTGAGGTGTTCATTCGATTTTGTGTACTGAAAGAAGAGGCTTCCACTATTCCGGTGGAAAGCTCGCACGTTCGGTACCCACGCAACTACGGACTTTCGAAACTTTCGTTCTTGGCAGTCACGATTATGGCAAAGCAGCATTCTGTGAGTAAAATAAGGGATCGATTTAAAATGAAAAGAAATAAAATGGTACAAGGATAAACCAATTAATATATATATATATATATATGTTGTATATATAAATATATATACAGATGTAAACGAATTCTGAAAAGAATGATTCTGTTCAAACGATCGACTGATTGACCCACTTCCGGTACACATGCCACAGACAGTTTCTATTTCTTATCTCTTGATACACTTTGTGAAGTATGGGTACTTTTTATCCTTCTGGTGTGTAGAAATAATGAACTGGGTTAAATGAGATACGTTTTTGCAAGCTAGAGTTTCAACATGTTAACATTAGTTAACCTACTTTTCAGTGGACGACCGTGATCTTTGCAACAATGATCACCGCGTTTCTTCTAGGATTAATTGCTGGGAACGAAGCGACAATTGCTCAGCCTAAAGCACCTAATTTTCAATATTTTGAACGGTGAGAAATATGAATATAAATTGCAGCAAACTATCTAATTTTTTATACTATCAATTATACTGAAATAAACACGTTAGTAGTGGGACATATTACAATATATGTTTATTGCTACTACTATATACTCGATATGAATATAATTGACAATATAAAAAATGTAGCCCTTTATTTCCACACTACTTCTGTGTTAATACTTTTATCTTTCAATACAATAGAATTTTTATGCTATGACATTAGCTGGTAATTTACTTGTAGGACTGAAAGGGATCTGAGCAGAACTTAAATAGGTCGTTTTCTGTAAAATTCCTCTTCTCATGTTTAAATGGTATATTATAAAGACATGCTAATCGTTATCTTGCCTTTTACAGGCCTAAATACCGTTACCCATACTATGATGAGAATGGTAGAGGAAAATTACTGTACGGATATGGAGGACCAGATCTGTACCAATACAAAACTTACAGTGCTCTTGAAGGAATCCATTAAAATAAGGAAGTACTAATCACATTAAAATCTACCAATGATAGTGCAACTACTTCTAAATAACACACGGTACATACACGATTCTGATTCCGATCACAAGAAATTTTGTACCATTCTGTCTGTAAAATATTTAGCATAGTTATGGTACACATGGTTCAGCATAATGTTTTATCTGTAAGTGAATAATAGTATAATTATTTTTCTTTTTAAACTTCTTGTTACCGGAACCACATCGGGTCTCTCCGTAGAATTAAGGAACATTACAAGATCGTTTATTCATCCAATTATAATCAATTTTTAAATGCAATCAGTTTGTGTATATTAGATTACTTCATAATCTTATGTTTCATTGTCTTGAATTATGATTTATTAATCGAGATAATACGTTCGATAATAACATTGTGTCTCAGAAAAGAAAGATGTGAACCGGACGTAAACGAACGGATGTGATCTAAGTGGTACTTAGATCGTTCTTGGTTAGTTGGGTGGGTTAGAAAAATGTGGTTAGAATGATCACGATGCTTTTTCAATGCTGAATCACCTACGAGTACGTTTACCAGTAGTCTATAGCATTAAAATTCACGAATTTTTCTACGACGAGTGTATGTGGAATGTGCAGTAGCATCGCTAGTGTCTATGATGTGTCGAATAACCACCGTAAAAGGCGAGAGAGAGAGAGAGAGAGAGAGAGAGAGTGAAAACCACTAATTCTAAGAACGCCTAAATAACCGACTATCATATGTCAAAGAATCAGAAATATTTGTAAATGTTTAAAAAACCTCCAGTCAATCGTGGTTGTTAAATCTTAAACTAAACGCGCTCGTGGAAAGAGGAGCACGATTTACGTTCGCCTTCGTCGTGACAGGTGCACATACAAAGTTACAAATGTGCAAGCATAGTCGAATTATAGCGAGATTATGTTGATTTAACGAACGACTACTACCCGTACGATGTGTTTTGGGCGTTTATTCCAAATGATCCTTGTCCGCCTTGTCTTCGGCAGACTGTAACTGTCATACGAAATCCATCTCGGATTTATTGTAATATTGTGTACCTGCTCGTCGTCTGTAGAGCTGTCTCTCTATAAATTTCTTTATCTCGCTGATCACAAACACGCTTGATGTTAACGCAACGAGGAACAAAATATCTGCCAAAAATAAATAAATAAATAAATAAATAAATATATGTATATATATATATTTTCCATAGAAAATTGAACGGTAATCGTATTATTACGAATTATACCAAGGTGTTTAACGTATAGTTTGTACCTTTTGCCGTCAGAGCCTCGGTTTGGAATACTCGTTGTAACGGGGGGAAGTAGATCACTAACATCTGTCCTATTACTGATAATGTTACAGCTACCAGGAACATCTTATTACTCCATAAACCAATGGTAAATATTGATTTTGTCTAAAATCAGTATTCAGTTTAAGATTTATTAATCGATTAATGGTTTTTCAATTTCTTACCTGTGATCTACAGCTCAGAGCATTAAACATATCAAAGAAAACGAAACAGGTGAATGTCATGGTTGTGTCTCTTGCGGTATTTCCATTTATCATCTAAAAAAAGAAAGATTAAGTATTTCCTAAAAATAATAGCAATATGCTTGTAAAAGAGCAGCTTTATACCTCTCTATTATAAACCCACAGAGTACCAAGAATGATAATAGTAGCTGATAATAGTACGTTGATAATAAGGTGTCGTGTGATCATCGGTTCCTTCGTGTTACGCGGTTTCTGTTTCAGCACGTCTTTGTCAACCGGTTCAACTCCCAGACTATAATATAATACACACTGCTATAATACAAAATATATGACTATTAATAAATACCATTTTCACTGTAAGCTACCTTTGAGCAGGTGGACCATCCATAATAATGTTAATCCAAAGAATTTGCATTGCATTTAAAGGATTCGGTATACCCATTAGAGTTGCAAGAGCGATTAAAGAAAGAGCTGCTATACTAGTACTTAACTGGAATCTTACAAAATTCCTTATATTGTGAAAAATCCCTTTTCCCTCTTCAATCGCGGCACTAAAAAAGATACGTAATTGTGAAAGAGATACATAAATAAACGTAGTAATAAATATTAGTAACTGCGAAAAAATATGTACATGATAGTTCCAAAATCATCATCCACTAGAATCATGTCTGCAGCTTCCTTGCAGACGTCGGTGCCATTTTTGCCCATGGCTATGCCTATGTCTGCCTTCTTCAAAGCGACTCCGTCATTTACTCCGTCGCCTGTCATCCCTACAATATTGCCTTCCCTTTGCAATGCTTTCACAATGCATAATTTGTGCTTTGGCGTGACCCGGTAAAACACACTAACGTTACTGATACATTGCTCTAATTGATGTTCAGTCATTAACTCAATTTCATCTCCAGACATTAGTCGCGAATGAAGTGTATCTAGTCCTATCATGCTTGCTAAAATAGAAATTATTAAATGCAGTATACTATTGGCGGTACTCGTAACAAATCATAGGAAACCAAACATAAATACACCCTGTACCTATCGCAGATGCAGTCTCTTTGGCATCGCCTGTGACCATCTTAACTTTAACGCCACTATTAATGAGAGTTGTTATAGACTCGCGAACGTGTGGTCTGGGAGGATCACATATTCCCACTAGACCAACATACATAAGATCTTGTATCGATGTACCACGCGCTAAACCGATTACTGTAAACATTTATTAGAAATAATAAGAGCTAAGAAAAATGACATGTTAGAAGTGGTGTTAAAAGTTACCTCTTAATCCTTGTTGTCCAATCTCGTAGGCTTCTGTTAGAAATTCCTCATCCTTCTTTTGGGTAAGAGAATACACCAAACCATTAGCAGAGTACTTAGTACATTGAGGCAAAATCTTTTCTATAGCACCTTTTACAAAAAATATTTCTTGCCTATTCTATAACACGTTCAATGTGCATAATATTAAATATGAATTATTTTTGTCAACAATACGAGGTCGTATAAAAAGAAACGTAGTTTTACCTCTCCGTATTTCGGTGCACATTTCACAGCCATCATTTTTTGTTCCGAGGAGAAAGGGTATTCTTGTAGCCGCAAATATTTGTCTGCCACTCCGTACATTCCATATTTCATGGCCAACGCTATCAATGCACCTTCCGTTGGCTGACCAAGTAGAGTATCATTCTGTATTATAGCATTGTTACAGACACATCCTACTTCCAACATATTGCTGATAGCAGTACGAGCAAGGTCGTAATTATCGCATTTGCGAATTCGTATTTCTCCCTTATCGTTGTAACCAGCCCCGGTAATATCAGCTATGTATCCTTCAGAAGTTACCAAGATTGTCGCGGTCATCTCGTTTTTCGTAATAGTACCGGTTTTATCGGAACATATCACATTTACACAACCTACATATCAACATTATAATATTGAAACTTTTATATACCATTGATTAAATATTATGTAATGATGTGGTACATCTACCTACCAAGGGTCTCAACTGTTGGTAACTTTTTCACAATAGCTTTTCTTTTAGCCATTCTCATAACACCCAAAGCTAGAGTTACTGTTACAACAATAGGTAAACCCTCAGGTATAGCTGCCACTGCCAAGCTCACGCTGATGGTAAACATTTCAAGAATAGCTTTGCCCTGGATCCAGCCAAGAAGCATAATAATACCAATAATACAGAACGAGTAAAAAGATAGCTGAGTGCCCAAAATATCCATGCTTCTTTGTAGAGGTGTCTTTGGAGCTTCTTCAGCTTGCATCATTGAAAAAACTTCTCCAAATTCACTCTTCTCGCCTGTATTAACTACTATACCCTATAAATAGTAATTAATTATAATTAATTAATCACGTACTAGTGATATATCATTAATATACATTGAGTGTTATGTAACTAACTTTGCCGTTTCCACAGCGTACTAATGTACCCATAAATGCAATATTCTTCTTTGTTGTCAACCCATTAGTCTTAAGTAACGGAGCAGTGGACTTTTGTGCTGGTTCAGTTTCTCCCGTGAAACTACTTTCATCGATTGCTAAATCTATTGCTTCGAATATCCTGATATCTGCAGGTACTCTATCTCCAATATTTAAATAAACTATATCACCAGGAACTAAATTGCGAGCGAGAAATGTTTCTAAACGGCCTTCTCGTAAGCTGAAAAAAACAATGAAACAATTATCATAACAGAACCAGTGATATCATAACATCATTCAACAGAAATTGATCACATTAATCCTGAACCTAACATGGGATGTTCAAAGTAAGTTGAATCTTTTTAAATGGATGTTACAGAGAAGTAAGTTTCACCTTTGTTGATCTATTTTTGAAATTGGATACTATATCTTCTTCCCTAACAAGGCAAAGGAATGCTCCACTTAAGGGGTTACTATATCCTCCAAGGACCATACTTCTAAAGGAAATGTGAATTTAAATGAATGCTACTAAAACAGTTTCATCTTAATGTGCAGAACTGTACACAAAAGTCTCATTAAAGAAAACATAATATGCGTTTCTTTACCAGTGACATGTTGGTGGCACCAGTTTGTTTAGTTCTTCTAAGGATTTTTCAGAGCGGTATTCTTGTACAAATGCAACTGTCACTACTATTATGATAGCCTGGAAATAATTATTGTCTGGACAGATCAAATTATCAAAATAAATTATTGATCTTTAACATATATTTAAAAATAATACTTACCACTGTAATACTGACAGCATCATCGAACTGCCTCATACATACACTAACAAAAGCAGAACCAAGTAGTAATAAAATTAAAGGATTCTTGAACTAGAAAAAAATGGGTTTTCTTGTTAGTGTTATCCATATCATTACACAACTTTCAATTTTATATGATATCTATTCAATACCTGTTCAATATACTTTTTCCATGTTGGTTCTTCTTCTTTGACACTAAATTCGTTAAATCCGACTAATTGTCTCCGGTGATCAGCTTCTTGCCACCATAGTCCAGTCCTTATGTCAACATGCAACCTTGCTGCTACTTCCTCAGTGCCAAGACTGGCTGCTTCAGCAGTTGTTAACCACATTTCTGAGCTTTGGTCCTTCGGACCCTTAAACAATGAAAAATTACTTATTTCCCCACAATAAATAACTTTATAGATATACTTGTAGGTAATTTTATACCTTCAGGTAGAAGTTTCAGCCATTTTTAAATAATGCAAAATACATTGCTCTTCAGAAACCACTTATTTTGAATGCATCCTAACTAATTAATACTCAGAAATTTGTAATATTTTCATGACATATGTCATTAAATTTTCACTCTTTTACAATAGACTACAGTATAATACTTTTCTACAACTGAATTTACCAATATTCCAAATCGAACGAATACTTTATTTTTTGTACTTAACAAAGCAATAGTTATCGTTAAACTAACAGTTTAAAGACACGTGCGTCACGAATTACAGTTGTTCTGTATCATGTGTGGCACGAACACGTACAACATATATAATAGATTACATGCTACGTATCTAATGGTCAACGAATACTTTCGCAGTAAGTTATAAAAAGGCTCAAGATATCCCATGAGTAATACTTCTTCAAGACTAAGTATATACATATCTTTTTTTAACGCGTGTCAAGGGAATTCCTAACCTACAAAATTGACGTGACGCATAATATTAAGATGCACATGGTCTGTTAAGCAACAGAATGTTATTTTCAAAAATGTTTCATTTTCGTCAAGACATCTTCATAAAGTAAATAGATAAATAAATTATTTGGTATCTAAAATTTTGTAACTGATTAGATCTGTGTAATAAATAGTCTCATTTACAAAAATTATTATCAAACACAAATTTATTCGATCAATTAAAAATTCTATCATATGCCAAATTATTACACCAAGTTGAAAACAATCATGCTTCGTTATAAATACATGAACACCCTCAATCTAACAATGAATATTTATGCAGTTTATACATGCATATCTATAAATATGTATATTTATAAATATATTATTTCAGTTTGGAATAATTGCAAGATAATAGAAATGATTGTATGTTTTAGTATTTTCGTCTCTAAAAAAAACTTGTTCCACAACTATGAAAGTATAATTCCAAATTTTATTAATTTTCGTTGTTCAATGCTGAACTTATAATATCTCAGACTACCTCAATGACATATCGATTTCGAAGAATTTTTTGGATCTGTCATAACTTGTTATCGTTCAGTTTACCATTCCGGCAATTATCGATCCATTTTCCTTCGAAGCCGCAAGGCTACATTGTTGTTATAAGCGTCGGTCAACTTTTTTCGCAGCATTCGTTATTGAATAAGTTCACTGGAAAGGTACCCGCAGTTCTTTATGCATTTGTGTCGTACTTGATTATATAAAACGCAATAAAATGTTACAATAAAGTATCACATACTCTTCCTGTTATTTCGATCGCATTGAAACCCCATACAAAAGAGATATTTTTGTTTGATATCGTCTTTTGAACATTTATCTTTACAAACTGAATGTTACATAAACATCCGCTATTTAGGCTTCGCGTGTTTCGCCACAAGAAAATTGCCACTCCGACCAACTATTCACGAGGTATGTAATTGACAATATTCAAGATGTCTGATTAGTTGGGAATCAAACAATGTTAGGTGTATGCAGACCTGCAGGTAAGAATAGCGATCCTGGCATGTGCTGTAGGCAGGGTGAACTCACGATCGATACCGGCATATTCGAAAACGTTACAGTTATGTTGAAGTTGAAGAATGTCATTATTATATTAACCCTTTACACTCGCATGTCTGAGTAGAAATAGTTCACATTTTCCAATGAGTTCTAGGCGACATTCTTTGAGACGAACCGAACGATAAAACATATATAAGTTAAGAAACAAAGTTATTGTTCCTATATTTAACATGTTTATGGATTACGGTGTTTAATATTGTGTGTAAGGCTTTATAATTCTGATATATCAAATCGAATGGTGAACGAGAGCATTACATTATTGCATTACATAATGACATTAATTACATTACAAGTGATTCAGATTCCCAGAACTATTTTTCTTTTTCTGAATCACACTCTATTTGTAATATCTGTACGTATATCTTAAAATAAGAAACTGTTTCGCGTTAGACGAACTTATTTGCAAATAAGTTGAAATAATTTGTAACTTAGTGGATCAGCAATAAACGAAAGCTTCTCAAGCAGCAACTGTGCATAGAACGCTTATACTCTTTAATACCTGATCTCCCGTGACCTTGAATACCATACTGTTTACATCATCTAACCAAGTATTCATAACCCAAATAAACAGTAAAGCCAGCCTGTTTTTAGAATCGTAATCTTGTTTTTTAATTAAGGATATCTTCCGATGTCGTCGATTGACAATATAACATAATATCCATGACCGTGAAATATCGTTGGGAGATTATAAGTTAACCAATCCTCTTGGGCGATTTATGGTTCTTCAATGTTCGACAAAGTAACGTTAAGTGACACACGAGTTAATTAACCTTTTGTCCGCGGCGCTCTCTAATGAAACACCATCATTGATGACAGTCGCTAATGCTCGCTGAAAAACGTCGCTATACTCCTTGTCAAAAATGACGAATTGCATCGTTGAAAGCAAGTAAAGCAACAGTGTATGAATATTCACGAGCGACTTGTAAAAATATATATCAATCTTCGCAACATGTTAAAAATATTGAATTTCACGTATCAGTGAAGGCTAGTATGGGAGTATACCTACATATCTTTCGCAGCCATGGGGTAATCGCATTAGATACCACAAACATGAAAAAGTAAGAAAGTAGCAACATATTCCAATTCATTGTTTCATACAAATCAAAAAGCAACTTATTTAACACGTTGAATGCCGTACGACTTTTCGGTGCAAAATACACGAAGTAGGAAAAAATATATTATCGAAGTATTTGATTGAATTGCATTATCATTGTTGCACGGTTACTTTGCTAAACGTCATTGCTTTAGGTTGCATTATTTCTAATATGGAACAGTTTTTAAATAATCATCGTTTAACTGAGTGAATTATAGTAATTCGATTTGGTTGGGTCACCGATGACCCCCCAACGACATTCAACGCGTTAAAATGTAGCGTATTGTAAAAAGAAGAAAATAAAAAAAAGATTTCATACCTCTTTCAATGTTGCATTCTCGTCGCTTCCCTTATCCGCGTTGACATCCAGTTCATTGTCGTCGAAGAGCTGTTCGTACTTCTTACCCGCTGTGTCTTTCATTTCTTCCAGCGAGATCTGTCTCCCTTTCTCTTTTTCGTCCCTGTCAGCCGGCAACCAGCCTCACAACACTGTGCTCCTTTCTTTTCTTTTTCAAATTCTGCCTCGCGCGTGTCGCCTCTTCGAGCCGTTTGGTCCGTTGATTTTCGAGTCAAGCGTAGTCCGTCAATCCGGTTTCACAGTTTCGAAAAACGGAAACACACAGCTCATGGTCCAATTGAAGAATCCCTGTCGAAACACGAGAACCATTGACTGTGCGCCACGCGCTCATGGAGGTTAAGTGTCCCGCCGATTTCTAGTCATGCGAAGGTCGAACGACGGAAAAAATAAAAGAATTTCGGACTCTAGAATTTTCGATTGTGTCAACCGACGAGAATACAGTAGTTTTACTCGGATAACCAGAACCGAAGGCCGGCAAAGACACGTTTGAATAAAAATTCATAGCCGTATTAGAAAATTCATTTGCGACGTTTAATCTCTTAACACTATATTTACGGATATTTGCTGTATAGTTTGTCCTATAGTTCTTAGAAAAATTGATATTCGTTTATTTAGATTGTAGAAATTAGAGGGTTAAAACTAGACAATTAGTATACATTTGTGTAACTGTAAAATTGACTCAAATGTTTACCAAATAATGTTTATAAAATTCAATACGAGTCAAACTGACTTGTTCCGTAAATCTAGTTAATACTAGAACTACCAGGTGGGTCAAAATGACCAATTCCTAATGTCTTCTTTTACGATTATTACCAAGGCACGGACACTCCTTTAAGAAATGATTAAAGCTGGTTTACTGATATCTAAACTGAAATATAAGCCAATTGAAGTCTTGATAAATTCGCAGTTTTAACTATTATAAAGAAAATTTTAAAAAGACTGCTTAAGTGCTCGGTAGTTATAGTGTTAACGCGATAATTGTATTTTACACAAAGAAAATTGAATTATTCCTCTAAATATTGTTATTTAAAGTTATAAGCTACGAAATTATATTTGGGGACTCAATGCCTCGTTTCAGTTTTATTTCTTCAATATTTGTTGAATCGAATAGAATATTACAACTGCGGAGATCGCCACCGAAACAAACGCTGGTGAACGTGTTAAACAATCGTCTAACGGAGAAACTTATAGAGTATATTCGACTATATATAAAATAGTATTTTTTCAGTCAAATAGTATTCCATGGTAAGAGGGTAAAATTAATTTGCAATGTTATCTTTTTATCGCATAAAGTGGAGCAAAGCTCTTCAAGTAACGCTGGAGTCAGCATTGACAAGCGTGCTGAAAGAGTTTCGAAGATTTCAACATTCCATTGGGTGGACAATGCGTAATTCATGTGAACAGCTTTGGCACGTTGGAACAGTCACGCGAATTTTAAAATGATCTCGAACACTGCTACCCCAGACACGAAGTGATTTGAACAAACTCGTGTGTAATCAGTGTAATATATTGAGCACTAGCGTCTCTATCTTTGCTGATAAGAATATTGTTAATTGATAATGGAGGTCTGCGAATATTTTGATGCTTCTGTTCCGTGTCTGTTCACGTCAAACAATGCGATCCGCGAGTACAAATTATAATCAAGGAAGTATGTATAGCGTAACGACCTTCGGTTCGAAAGCTGGATGTGCTAATGAAATAATCTTCAACGAATATCCGTAATACGTGGCGCAGCATAATTGGTGGTGCAATCGTAAATGAGGCAATGTTCGATATAAAATTACATTGAAAGCGTGCAACAACGATATTTCGCATGACGAGCATTCTTTTACTGAAAAATCAAATTCGAGAGTTCGTCTAATACGCATGCTTCCGAATTCAAGTATATACCTGACGTGTCTATTCATTGCTCACTATTCCCACTCGACGAAATAAAGCTTGGCAATAATAAAGCGTCATCTACTCGCTTGTCAGTTCGTAGAAAATTATTATGAACAAAAAAGTGCTATGATACGATCAAAGTTTATAAAGATCGACAATAAGTAGACGGTACGCAACGGTAACAAGTATATACATAACCGTGAGAACTTTATTACATTATTTGAACACCAATAAATGGAAGTAACTCGATGATAATGTATAAAAATATTGTTGACAATATATCCAATTCGCTTTGAACGACAAAGTAAACGTTTCATGCCCGACATGCGAATAAATCGTCTAAGGGATGATTGGTGTGTTCAATGAAATACTTTTTGCCAAGGGTAGTAGACGTTATCCCGAATCGATAGGAACGTTTCGATGACGATCGTTCGCACGGACGCGAAACAGAAGCCTTTGAACCGGTTTCAAGCACAAAAATGAGCACGAGTGCTTCAAGAAATCTCGACAAAAATATCCTACCCTTAGGATAACCCTGCTAATATCCGAGGCACGTCGGAGAATCGAGCCCCGATGCGTGTCCAGGCGGGACAACGTGGACGAGGAACTATTCACGAACGACGAATTCTCCTCCGCGACACCGGGAGTCGTGTTTCAAAGAACGGATCGAGCAGTTTCGTCTTCGCCGTGGAATTTCTATGCGCACTCATTCAAAGGAAAAAGGACTGGAAACGCGTGACGATCGGTTGACGTGTAACTGCCGAATGACAATGTAGCGAGCAGCGCCGCTCGTACCGTGCTGGTACTGATCTGGGAAAGCAGCTATGGACGCCACTTGCTGCACGTGTGTCCACGCGTGTGTATACGTTCGTCCGCAGGTACGTTCCAACGAACAGGCACCCTGGCTACGGTGTCGAATGCCTGTGGAACATTTCGGGTCAAATCAATTTCAGATTTTATGAAAATAAAATCAACCCTTTGCCTTACAATATCGTGTTAGACTTGTAGCGAAGATTTCTAATATGGTTTAACAAATGTAAATATTATTCAGTTCTTTTAAGTTCAAATGCAACATTATTTTTCTTGTTAGCAATCTGGCTTAGATATAGAAAGAACATAAAATCTTTTGTCTTTCTAGTGTACTATTAACGAAAAGTAGTTCTAACAAATGCAACTGCGAAATCAAATGGTAGAACAAAGGGTTAACACGTTGAACGTCGCATAATTTCATAGAGCAAAATACAGAAAATGGGGAAAATACAATATTAAATCATTCGATTGTGTTGCATTATTATTATTGCACATTGGTCTGGCTGAATGTCACCGCATTAGGTAGCGTTATTTATTATATAAAAATGTTTTCAAATAATTATCGTTTAATTGAGTGAATGGTTGTCACTGGTGACCCCCACGGCATTCAACATGTTAAATGAAAAAATAAAAAGAGTCCAATGTTTAAGTGGCCAGGGCCTAGAAATATGACGAGCCGACCCTGCTTGTCCCGGGTCAGTGTGTTAGAAGTAGAGCAGACTGTGTCGATCCAGCGTACGACGACCTTACAAGGGGGCCGTACGATGCATTTCGTACCAATTTTGATGAAACTTCGTGGAAAGGCGGTGTTCACCTAAATTCTAAGTAACATGAAATCGAGGCTGTAAATGGTCAGTCGTTTCCGAGATATTTCAAAGTAAAGTTTGTATTTTCCCGTTAGCAGTTCGAGCCTTTTTAGTTGCCAGGACATATCAAGTAAAAGCGGTGGCGCAGCGAAACGCATTAACGCTGCTGCGTTTCCGAATTCGTCCCCGATGTACCCTTGAACAAGTTTGAGTCGAAGTTTATGACTATTTGGGGAACGATATGAGACGCATAGCTGTAACACAGTAAATTCGATGTTTCGGGTAACTGATATAAATTCGAGGTAATAGAGAAACGGTTCATATATGGTTTATTTACGATGGTCAATAATGCAGAAGGAAATCGGAAAATCGATATTCTTGCACGCTTATCGGATAGATGGTAGTATACTTTTTAATATAGTTTTAATATGTTTTGATTAACGAGGATTTTATATTATCGGACAGGGTGAAAGTGTTGAACAGCGTTGACGATCGAAGTCGTTGGATTTATGGGGTTAATGTATTATTGGGAGATTAGATGTGAATATCATTGACTCGTTCAAGGTAAATAATGCTAAATATAATTTCCAAACATTTATTGATCGAACAAGCTAAATATATTTCATGATACAATGGCGAGTTATTTATTGAGCACCGAGCAGCGAAGACGCTTGGTAGTAAGGCAATAGAATCATTGGTTATTCAATTTTCCCGCTTAGCAAGTTAGTGTAGCTGTGTTTAATCGAACGACATTACAGTTCGTTGACATTGCTCTATAGCTTCACGAGACGTTTCCTTTTCAGATTGAGGAGTAGATTACTGTGGGGAATTAATCCCCGTTAAAGACTAATGTTCCATTTTGATGACACTTTCGTTTTATATTTTTGTCGTATTTTTAAATAATGATATCAAAACGTGAACGTGGGAAGGATCATCAAACTGGAACATCGAGCGTTCGTAGGTTAAATATATTGTTATACTTAAGAAATTTTTAATCTTTATTCAAACAGCATTAAAAAATAGATTTCTTCTCGTATAAATGATAATTCGAAGCGAACTGTATTGTATTAAATGTAAGTAGACGTACTAATGTTGTTGCGAATGGTAGAATTGAATTTAATACCTTTTCATAAATAATTCCAACAAGATTCACTTTACAATAGAATGTAGAAGTTACTAAGAATCAAATATATGTATTGTTATATAGTTTTTGAAAAAGACAGGCTTTTATAGTTTCCGCTATAAAAATTCCATAATCGAATTTCACAGTATAATCTTATCGAACATTCATGTATTGAATAGAGATTAATATGAGTTTAAATTGATACTAACAATAAAACAAAGAAACGTTGAATCAAACATTGAATATTCATTGCAGCTTACAAGGTATTTATTGCACCGCTAACCCGCTAAAAACTTAGTGGCGCTGTATGCGAAACAACAGCCACTACTAAAAACAGTCACTCCTGACGTGCATGTGTGTACGTTGGATCGATTGGATCAGTCATCTGAAAGGCGGTAATTTGCGTACTGTTCAAGAGTGCCGCGCTAAGATAATCTCCGATGGAAGGCACAAATCCGGCAAAAAATATTTCAGGATCTGTTAAAAGTATCTGTCCATCGGCAGAAGAACTGAGCGTAATTACGAACAATGTCAAGTGTGGAAAATGTGGCCTCGTGTTTCAGAATGAGCCACGATATCGGTTGCATGACCTCAAGGTGCATCAACGTAAAAATCTAGATAAAACAATCAAAGAGAGTGTTCAGTATCATTGTCCTGTGGAGTCTTGCGTTTATGCTCAGAACGCCGAAAGACATTTCACTAGCATGAAATATCTTAAACAAGTAAGTATAATCACGATACAATTAAAATCAGAATATTCTAATTTGCAATTTACTATTTAAATGTGCACTAGCATTATCTTAAAGTACATGCAAAGAAATCATATGCGTGTACCCGTTGTGAAAAAAGCTTCTCCACTGAAGCAGCCAAAGAAGGTCACATGAGAGTATGTGGAATCGAGTTTACATGTTCTTGTTCTAAAGTTTACACTTCTTACGAGGCTTTGCTCACACATGCAAAACGATCCTTACATACCATAAATGACAAATATAAAAATTCATCTAGGTAAGCTAGTTATAAAAGAAACAATGGTTTATGATAAATATAATGTTATTAACTTATATCACAATGTCAAATACTTTCACAGACGTACAAATTCCAAAATGGTTCCTTCAATGCTACAAATTAGCCCAGTTGGTATAAATAAGCTAATTACAATCCTACCAACAACTACTACGGATATTGGTGTACAAACAGATGAAAATAAAAGAAACAAAAGAATATCAAGTCCATCGAAGCATATTAATAATGGCCATTATCAAAATGGAAAACGCAGTGTATCCAAGCAGACACAGACAAGCATATCCCAGAAAATTCGGCAGAATGTCACATCTATGGAGACACAGACCACAGAAGCTTCAAGAGTATGTAGAAATTCACTGAAGATTTCGAAACGTAAAAAGAATTCTGTGTCACAAAATCCTGATTACACGCTGTTAAAGGAAGATCTGAATCTTGGCAATTTTACATCCCCTAACTTGTTTCCTAGTAGTCCATTGCCACTTCGTCATGATGTTGGTTTGCAAGATTTTTGGGAAGAGAAAAGCACATCAGGTACTCAAACAATGCCTGAAAAAGACATGTTTGAAGTTTTAAATCACAATGTCACTCAAACAGAATTTGAAACATTTTACGAGCACAGTACAAATCCACTCATACAATGTGTTCCGAAAAGTACTGTTGCTCTGATGACTTTACCTTACGTAGAAGAAACATCCACAGCTGAAGGATATTCCTTTGTGTCTTCAAATAGCATATCAAGATCAGACCCTATGCTTACAGATAAAACCTTTGATGATAAATTTAGTAGTATAGAGACTCAGACTGAACAAGATTACTCACAATCGTTTTTTGATTCAGATACCTTAACTAGATCGTTTGCATTAAGTTCTAACATTGAAACACAAACCACAAACAATCTAGATAACATGGAGCAATTGTTGTATAGTAACACATGCACACAGACATGTAATGAAATGCTACCATCCGATTTGGGTTTATCTAATATTCAGACGCAAACAGCGTGGACTCAACTTGAGGATACTACTGTTTCTACCGAAACGCAAACAAAATCATTGATATGTGAAACGGGATGCAACATTTCAATAGGTGCATGTCGTTCATGGTTAAGTATTCAAACTAGTCATACCGAAACACAAACTGATTTACTTAGTATTTTCGAAGGTCTTCAATAATGAAATATTAACTTTCTTTTTTATACTGAATGCCAGTAAAATAATCAATATTTATGAAAAATATTTTATGCACTTAGTATTATAAATTGAAATTAATTTTTTTATATTGTTGTTTTTTACTTTGGTATTTTGTATATTTTATTACAAACTAATTGTTCGAGTTCCTGTGTATGTGCAATTTGTTCATGAAATATTATGTGCATAGATCAAAATACTGCATTTTCTTAAAGAAAATAATAAGTTTTTGAATTTAATGTACTCATTGTTCGCATTGCCACAATTTAAAATTATTGTTTGTACATATATATTGCCGGAATAAAAAAATACACATTGCTGGCAATGTAATTCTGTTATATGTAACTTATTAATAAATCTGTTAATTTGAAAGCTGATTCATGAGGAGTGTTATTAATTTTATTTTAAATTTTAAGGGGGTAAATAAGCCTTAAAGCTTCTTGTGTAAACATTTTTACACAACAATTTGTTTTTAAAATAATTCGGACTATTTCAGCTCATTCAACGATTAATTTAAATTCACGAATTTAAAGATGTTAAATAACGGTAGTTTTAAATCCTAATATTAAAAATTACAAGTACAAAATAAATACCACGCATTTTAAAAAAAAGAAAGACATTTTTTGTTTGTATTAATTTACAAATTTTTAAATACTTTCACATGTATATTGTAGGTACAAAACATTTTATTAGAATACTAGAATATACCTTTGGAGTTTTTTTGTTTAATGATTTTTTATGTCGGTAAGAGGAAGTATAATATTCAAATTCAAATGTATGGAATTAATTTGTGTGTCATATACAAAGGCAACTTTTAGAAACCTATTTCTCTGTATACATACATATTGCTATTGCACAGCGCTTAGAAAAACATACTTAATTATTGATTTGTTATAATTACAACCTTGTTCGAGAGATTCACATTTTTTTAAGATTCAAGAGTCATGTACCCCCTTAAATAGAAAAATACATGGAGGATTTCGTCTGTTTCAAATCTAATTACCTAGCTGATAATTTTTGACATGTACAAAGAAATGGAACTTTCGAGACTGTACACGTAACATTGTCACAATGACCATTAAAGTAACGTTTCTCTTAATAGTTACATTGGAATAGTATTGTAAATCCCAACCAGTGCTTTGCGTTTATGGATCATCGACAAAGCGTATGTATAAAAGTTAAAATCTTTAATGTATTTCTAGGAGCCATATTGTGATGGATTAACATAAGCCACTTCTTTACGCATGTTTGTTGCTGAGAATCAAAGTGATATTTAATGCATTCATTGTCGTAGGTCACTGATGATCAATATTTTAATTTCTAATTATGCTACTAAACAATAAAAAAACATTTACACTTTTGTAAATATAATTAATAATGAAACAAAGATGAAAATTTAAACAAACATTTTATAACAAGAAATCAAACCAATGCTACGGTCAACATATTTAAGAGGCATGCTTTATCAACAAGAGCAATAATTTATAGTTGATTGTATATCTATGACCGTAGCGTGAGTGGAAACACGAAGACTACTGTTAACACATAAAGATACAACAAATATAATGCGGATATCGTGCTTTTGCAATTGAATCGAATCACTAATCGACTCCAGAAAGAATACTCAACGTGAATGTGTGAATTCCAGGAACTTAATAGCATCGGCTGGGATGTATATAGGAGAAAAAGTGAAACAAAGGGTAGTGTACAGACAGAGGAGTACATAAAACTGTATTAAGGTGCAGGACCAGCAGCTTCATGAGTTATCTTCATCAAAATCTGATAGAAAATCTTTGGTCCAGTCTTCTATCTTATCTACATTCTCAAGTGTAGAAGCTAGTACTCTTAAATTGTCCACACCGGACATTAATTGTCTGCAAATATATTAACATACTGTAACTAAAGTACTTTCTCTATAGAAATGTACTATGTTTAAGCAAAGTACATAATCTCACCTTAATGATACTTCTGCCGAAGAAGCAGCATTTCTTAAATCGTTGGCTAACCTTCTTACTGTTCGGTTCATATTCGAAGAATCACATTCTACTCTACCCCCCATTGCTATTCCTGCTTTAAGTTCATCATTCTCCAACCTTAAAGCTTTAATTTCTCGTTTTAATGATGTAATAGTACTTTCTGCATTCACAGCTCTTTTCTACAAAGGTAAATATTCAAACAAACAAAAGTAAAATGCACAAATACAATCTTGCACTTACTGTACTATATTTTAAATTGTCTTCAACCTGTTCCATAGCTTTTTCAAGATGTGCTGTTTCCTCTTGTTCCACCTCTCTTCTAGAGGTCAATTCGGATTTTAATAATTGAATTCTATAATAAATACAATAGAAATGAGTATTGCAATTTCATTTAATTTGATACCTGTATATTTACTTAGATGTACCTTTTAGACTTTTCACTGATTTCTTTTCTTGCCTGTTTTAGCTCATGGCGTAATCTTTCATTTTCTAATAATAGCTGTAAGCAATTTCAATATGTATCAATTACAAATTCTGTTTAACTAAAGTAGTTTTTTTTACAACCATACCCTTCTTTCTGTGGTCTCTGTATTATTTGAAACAGGACCAGAATCTGTAGAAATTGTTGTTTTATTGTGTATAGGACCATCGTTTAAAAAATCTGGCAAAGATTTTGGAACACTAGTTTCGTTAGGTCCAGAACAATCTCTTGCTGCAACGTTTGGACCTGAATCAGATTCAGTACCAAGTATTGGCAAATCTAATGGAAACCCTAAACAATAATAAATTACACACGTAAAATTTACTTGTTCCTTACTTATTCTTTGTTAAAATTGACTTGCACAATTATCAAAACAAAACCTGTTATTTTAGACATACCTGATGATTCTGGACGTTCTGTATTTCCTATGTTAGATCTATCAAAGATAGGTAAATTTAAATGGGCAGAACAACTCGCATTTGGTGGAGATTGATTACTAGGGGGTAATGTTTTTGCTATACTTCCAGTCAAATCAAACGATAGATCATACAAAATAGGTTCACTTTCTTCAGATTCATTTCTAAGCCTGGTTTGTCTCTGTTCTACACTGTTCAATGCAAAGTCTGGCAGATTATCTACATCTGAAGTGTTTTGTTGAGCGGATTCATGATTCAAATAACACTGCTCTAAAACCAGATGATCTTGCACAAAGTCTGGTAGTTCTGTTGGATTTCGGGAGTAGACTGTAGAATCCTTCTCCAATTTATTAGGACTTGGTGGTGGAGAAGGATAAACTTTTGGACGAGCTCCACCAGTATAATAATTTGTTTGGAGGGAGTTCTTCAGGAATTGTTTGAAACTAAACGGATTTTCCTCGCGTCGTGATACATCTTTATCTAGAAGAAATAAAAGAAATAGAATAATGAAATTCACTGTTAGATATATACCGCGACGGATACAAAGAAATCTAACCTGATTGTATGTTCATTTCAGTAGCTCTTCTAGTGGGATACTCGTTCGATATGATTCTACAGCTTCGGCATCCCGTGGACACCTCCTCCTCAGAAGACGATGATGACGAAAACTTCATCTTGTGCCACCTCACTTTCTTCGACATGGACCGAGAGCATTCATTATTTTTTTTACGATTCGCCATCATCTACGCGGAGGATCAACTTTACCGACAATCGTATCATTTGCGGTGCAGTCAAAACTGCACTTGACATTTGTCACCCGCTGACTGCGCTTGGATCAGGTTAGTCGTGTGACTTTTTCTTTCGTCTTCTTTTTGTCTGCCGATTTACTCGCGCTCTCTACGAACGTAAAAGAAATGTATGCCTTCGAGTCTTCTTGGCTCCGCTTCTCTTTCGTAACACGAAGTACTTATTGCGTGCAGTTTCTTATCTGAAACGGAGGCGCAAGGTGTTAGGTATACAGGTACATATTATATCGATGTCTTGTGGAATACTTATAGTGAGTTTCAATAATCGTGGTTCATTCAAGAAATAAGTGTTACTTGTATAGAGATCAGGTGGACTGCTAAATGATTGTATATTGGTTTCTGTGTGTAACAGGTACATTAAGGTTTCATCGAGTAGGTTATTAACCACGTGAGAATATCGTTCATCGCAACATTTTATATACGTTCTTACGAATGTATAGGGTGACTTTAATACAATGTCACAAGAAAAACCCTGTCGTGCGTGTACAGACTTCAAAACATGGGCAAAGATTCAAAAGAAAACGTTCCAATCTGAGAAGGTATAACTGATGTTTTTTGAATGAAAAGTTCTGTGCGGATTATAATTAACTATTCAGTGGGATATATACAAAGTGCCCCACTATGATCCTACCATTAGAACCTTTTAAATCGTTTATTATTCGAAATAACATTCGAGATCAAATTTAATCTATTCTGAGGACATCTTGTGATGAACACATAGCATTATGAACAGATTGCGTAGATAATACTTTATTATGTGCATTTGTGTTATTTTAAAATGAAATTAAACAATGTATATGTGATAACAGATGTTCTTATTATTTAATAATTGAACGATACATTCAAAATTAACGTAAATATTTGTATGTATACGTAGACTACCGATGTTTCAAAAATTTACATCTTTTTGGTAGTTTATAAAAATAAAAAATATACTATGTAATTGTAAAAAGTAGTATACACATTGGTATTTACATTGAATTTATTTTTATATATGTTTTTTCTTTATAATAGGAATCTGAGAAAAAACAGGAGCATAATCAATCTGTAAATAACAAGGGTAAACGTGATGACTGTCCTTTGGATAAGGATGAATTAGGTTCTAGAACATGGTCACTGTTACATACCATGGCAGCATATTACCCAGATCAACCAAGCGAAGCAGAAAAATCTGATATGAAACAATTTTTTCACACATTCTCTAAATTTTATCCTTGTTATGTATGTGCAGAAGATTTAAGGGAACAATTAAAGCAGTCCCCGCCACAGACTGACTCACAGAGAACATTGAGTCGTTGGCTTTGCAACATACATAATGAGGTAAACAAGAAAATTGGAAAACCTGAATTCGATTGTAATCTTGTTGATCAAAGGTGGAGAGATGGTTGGCTCGATGGTTCTTGCGACTGATAATAACTTACAATCGCTGACGGCTTTAAATGTTTATAAATGACCTATATGTGATATAAAATATTATGTAAGTTGATTGTTATAGATGCTTTTATGATAGGAATAATTATAGATAATTGTGTTATAAAAAAATACGTATTGATCTTTACAAAATTCGACAAAAATATTAATAAAAGTAGAATTATTATACAATCATAGTTACAGTAATTGTCACCTGTTTTAGAGTATAATCATTGGTAGGAAATAGGTGGTGGTAAATGTGAAATAGTAAATGCAGAATTCAATGTCCTAATCTGAGGTTCATAGCTATGGTTTTGTCCATCACCACCAACTGGCATAACTTGACATGTTCTGATATGAAATGGAAACCGTTTGTTAGCCATAGATGGTCGAGTAATATACAAAAACACTATATGTCCCACAAACACGATCCACAACGAGCATCCTTTAGCAACGCTTTCTCTTACCCAATCGTCTACTAACAAAGTAATGCAGAGCACCTAAGAAATTATAATTATTTTGAGGTGGAATTGTGACATTATGTGAAGCCATTATATAAAATATATTCAATATATACCGTTAGCGGATGGCACAGGAACCACGCTGACCCCAAAGAAAATAATGAGCCGTAAAAATGAAGTTTTGTCGACATTTTTTTAATTGTCTTCAAGCAACGAAGGGAAAAGACGATCCATGCGATCAGCTTTACAGCTATTAACATGTAGCCTGGTGGTGATTCGTAAATGTATAATACCAATCCAGGATCAAATACATCGGATTGGTAAATGTATAACGTGAACTGAAAGAAGGAAGTAAAACACACAAAACAGACAAGCCATCGAGTTTGTCTCGCTGTTAGAACACTTTTCGTCACCGTGAAACCAATCGCGAGTAGTAACATAAGTACGGTGAACAAAATATCTGAGCAGGCTTCTGAAAGTTGGCCTATCAAGGAAGCATTCTCTGATGCCATACCTTTCAAACCAAGATTCATGTAACTATAAATTTCAAGCATTATCCCGAATAATTGGAAAAGCAGGGAAGCTATATATATTTTGTAAGACACGTGTAATAGTCTCCTTGATTTCAATTGCACTGCTACATAGAAGCTTAATATAACAAGTATAACATATATACTACTGATTGCTATCAATTCTGGTAGTATATCTGAAATGAAGATGGATTCAGTTAAGTAATGTGTTTGACTACATTAGACCACGACAAAATTCCTCACAGAATTCATCTGCTGAGAAGTGTTCTCTCCAAAAATTGCCGGGCTGTGCATTCGTTAACGATATCCAATAGGAAATGTTCAATCCAGTTTGCGAAGAGCAATCTGCTAACGCAATAAACCACCATCTTGGGCGAGATGATCGAAACCTTCGATAGCTAGAACATCGCACCGTTAATCCGTCGTCCTCGCATCCTGATTTTTTTGGCATAAGCGTTGATAATGGTACTATTTGACCAATTCCATCCCATAGTATAGATTCTTTTTCCAAGCATGTTTTATTTGAGGGATAAACGCTGGGCCATTGATCGGGCGCGTCATAATACAATAATATTTTCAAATCCTTTTCCTCGCCACTTAATTCAAATTCATACCGAAATATACCTAGTTCTGTTAAAAAGCAGAATCTCGCTAGAAATGCCCAATTCTGAAAGAAGAAAGTAATTTCACTTATTAATTGACTGCTTTTCAATAGAATGCTTATAAGATACATAAAAGAAAATAATTTAAAATATTATTGAACAACGCAGATTAAAAACACTAATGAAAATGAAAATTCATGGAAAATTCGCAATACTTCGCGTGTAACTAAGCGTCCTTGAAGAATTTTCGTTTCTGACTGTGTACATAAAAACGGAAATATGCAAGAAAATAATAGCGATTTGAACATTCTTGACACTCGACCGCACAATATTTCTCGTGACTGTGAATATCAACATATCCTTATACGTTACCCGTTACCTGCTGCTTTCCTCATGATCAATATTTCCCTGCTACCTGCGGCTATAAGTTTCAATTATTCTATTGATTTTAATTGTAATGTGGAGACTCATAACAAATAGATTGAATGGTTAATCATGTTTTGAAAGGTGTACAGGAATATGTGATACTTTACCAGTTCCATATTTTTGAATTTTAATTTGAAACCGCCTAAATTTTGTGAGTATACAGTGTTGACATTTGCGTGACCATGACATTTAAATACTTGTTGCATAATAATATTGACATGACAAAATAGTGTATTTGCCGTAACTTGGTTGTTCCTAAGTATGCAAAGAATTGGAACTTTGAAATTGGATATTTGTATGTATTACTTTTTCTGTGAGTTATCTGTGTCCATCAGAAACAATACAATAGTTTCTAACTGCTAAATCAATATTGAGAGACTTTAGTTATTTCAAATAGATTTTTTATGATGTATTGACTGCTTAAAGTATATAAAGAATAGTTCATGATAGTAAGATATATGGTTAATTGAAATGAATATTTAAAAAATGAAATAATCGAGAAGGAGGAAGTAAATATTTACATTTTTTATAGGAAGATTCGTGTCAAGTAGAGCTTGAAAAAGATTTGATTTTGAAGCCATCTAGCGGTGAAATTAACGGAATGCCGCTGCAAATACACGTGCAAAATTAAAGGAGACCCATAGGCATTGTTGTTCATACAAGATGATTACAATAAAGTATTTGTCACACTTTTAATATTATTTATCAGTGATTTGTGTTGCTTTATCTTTTCAAAACAAATAGACTTAATGTACGAAGTATTATTCAACTTTGTTAACTTATATAGAGGTTACGAAAAACAATATAACCATGAAAAGCAATAAACAAAGCCATAAGAGTTTTAAAAGTAAATGTATATTACTGTATCTATTGTTTTAATGGGTCTTTTTTATTTATTAGTTCAGATTTTTATTTATACATTTTATTTCTAGCGTTGTGGCTTCAAGTTGATAAAGAAAACACAGATAAACATCAACTGTTTTTCAAAGAACATTCCATAAGAAACCAGAATCCTGAACATCCAAGAGGCAAAACATTATTTGTACTAAATATTCCACCCTATGTAACTACAGAAGCTCTAAAGAGTTTATTTGGAAAATGTTGTGGACCTATTTGTAATGTATTTTTTACTACTTCAAAAGGATTTAAAACAGCATATGTAGTATTTGAACAAGAATCTGCTTTAGAAAGAGCATTAGAGTTTCCAGAGGATAGTATTATAATATTAAATGATGACCACAACGTTTGTTTAACAGGATTAGCCAGTGGGTGATGATATATATGTTTTTTTGTTTAATTTATTATTTATGGTGAATCTTTAAATTTATTTGAATTATCTAAATAGAATGGTGTCAAGAATATAATAATTCAATCTGTGATGAAGAAGAAATGAAAAGAGAAATTGAAAATTATATGAATAATTATGATGAAAGAATAGCTAACAAATTAGCTAATGAAAAAGCTATAACGGAAGGAAACCAAGACAATGATGGTTGGATAACTGTGACTGGAGAAAAGAAGAGAGGACAGTTTGCTCTTGCTAGAAAAGAATCAGCTATTAACAAATTGCAGCATAAGGAACAACAAAAGGACAAGAAGAAACAGTTGATTAACTTCTATACTTTCCAAATTCGAGAAAGTAAAAAACAGAGTAAGTATTTTTATGAAATACATGTGTAATACTTATAAGAAACTTTAGTATGTACTTGGAGCATTTTATTATATCTTCTATTTATAGATCTGGCAGAGCTAAGAAAGAAATTTGAGTTGGACAAGAAGAGGCTACAAGATTTAAAGTCAAAAAGGACATTTAAACCATTTTAATTAAATAGGGTCTTTATATAAAGCATTTGGTAGATACAAAAAATATTACACTAATTTTCTAATTTTAATGTAAATTTGACATTTATTATAACATACAAATTTTGTTTACATTAATAACTACTACAGACATCTGTTGTGTTGCAATTCAATTTATGTACAAAATATGAACAATGTAAGCTAAAATAACTATTTCAGTAAATCAAGAAGCTTTATTTCCATAAGTCTGCAATGTCCATTCAATCAGAAAGTGTTGATATGCTAAAGGTTGTAACAAAGCCAATAGTTCCTCTAAAAACGTAAAATAACTAATTAATTAATATAATTCACACTGAAAGGGACAAATTATAAAAATACCTACGTTTGTTTCCATAAATGCAATTTGCAGACATTGCTGCACTTATAGCTTGTGCAAGTCGTTCCATAGCTAAATCACGTGCAGGTAGACTAGCGGTTGAATGTGATCCCAAATTGCTGCTTAAAGCACGTGTTGTGGCTGCAAAATGCTGTGCTGAAATTGCATGCTTATTGTTTCCACTATTCTTTAATCTTAATACTGAATCCATAAGTAGCTGTTGAATCTTAGAATACAGTTTCTTTTGTTCTTGACAATTTTCTGTGTTCTTTAAACGAAGGGGACATAAAATGCACCACCTGACAAAAAAAACTAACAGAGGTCATCTTTTATACTTAATATTCTATATCAACAAATAACAGTTACACATTCTATATTTTATCTTTGTGTAATTATAGTTGCTATCCCTATCAGTCATATTCAATTATGATAAATAATTCATTCTATTTACCTGAATAAGCCTGCTATGGGTGTAATAGGTGTCATTGGAATGCCACCAGTAGGCAAGGCTGGATTATCCATTAAAGGTGTTAAAAGAAGACTTGGATTTTCATCAATCCATTCTCCTACTAATCTGAGCAGTTCAGTAGGTGGATCTTTATCTTCATAGACCTCACCTATTGCCGTCAGTAAGTTGGCCGTGAAATGTGGTGCAAGAATGGGAAGCTGCTTCAATTTATCAATAGACTTTGGAGTAAGGACAAAGTAATCATTAAGTACATGCCTTGCTAATCCTACACTCTGTGGAGAGGTAGAACCTAACTGTTGCATCCAAATTCCAGTTGCATTCAATACTGCTTTATTTTGTGTAGCTATTGCAAATGATACTAAATTCCCCAATAATTTGTTCCTGGGACTATCTGCTGGGAAAAGGGATAAAAACACCGCGTTTCGTACAGCAGCACTTCCTCCTGGACTTTGAAAAAAATCACTGAGTACTTCTATTAATTGCAATTCTTGTATAGCTATAGTCATATTGCGTTTTTTTCGCCTTTCTATTTCGCCGAATACGAATTCCGATATTAAATCCAACTGCAAGCCGATTTGATTTCCTGGTCTCCATAGTACCTCTTTAAAGAAATTACGATACATGTTTGTACACAAGAATATGTTTATATTTAAATCTGCTAACCCTTTTAGACCATCTTACCGATCATGCATAAAGCTTCCCTAGCGCAATATGGAAAATCTAATTTTCGTAAATTCTGTTTTATATCATTCCCAGCCATTAATGTATATAGGTGGGCCTAAGGTATAGATACATCGAAAGTAAATAATACAATCGCTTGACACTTTATCAACGACCGAAGACCACCTTAGGTTTTCTTCAACTAATGTTTTCAATTTTCATGAACTATACACATTCCTAGAAGTTGAGGGAATATATTTTGATTGGTGCAATCTAGTTAACACGGGTTTCAATTATTGAGCGATCAATAAGTTGTTTTGCATTGTTAAAATATTAAGTCTCAAGCAAAATTTCCTTATTTTTCCATATTCGTTTCGCAATACACTATTATTTGTTACATTAGATGCCAGTTTAGGAGATTACTATTTTGCATACATCGAATATCAGTAATGGCTGCGTCACTCAACGCGTTGACTATTTATTAATTAACAATCTTGTACATGCTAATGTATACATATAGACAACACATGTCAAACAACTGACTTAATGTTACATAGAAAAATGATACGTAACTAGTGACACAAGTCTAGTAGTAACAGAATCGAATAACCAACTAACTATTAAAACTTTCGAGAATATTAAGTAGAGCTCATAGACCTCTAGCGGCGAATGGAGGTACACGCCGTGAAACAGACGTCCAATCTGTAGCGCCACCTCCGACTAGGTTGCGAACCATATTGTTAGTCAAAACAATCGCCGAATTCACGGTCTATTTTTAGGTGGCACCCATCAAGCTACAGTACTTCACCATTTTTCGCGTACACCGAAAAAAGCTATATAGTCGGCAGCTACCGCGGCGACGGTCTACCGATCTCGGAAAAGTTCAACGACCCCGCGGTATAATTGTGACAAGAGGAGCGACCGGCCATGTTTATATCGTGGTGAATTTCGAGGTAGCGGCCTGAGACCCGAGACGAATTTATCCACGTGTACTCGCTCGATCCTTATCCCCTGTACCTGACCTCCAGTACGGTGTCGGAAGCGTTCGAGTGATGGAGTCCAGCGAGAGGGGTGAGTGGATCTGCCTGTGAAATAAAATCGCGGCAATATTGAGCCTCTGACACAAATCACGACCTGGGGGCAATGGCAGTGTCAGGGTCGGAACGGAACTAGTTCAGTGACCGCATTCGCGGTATTCGACCGCGATATTACCGGTGATTTTCACGACTCGTTTCTTTTCTATGCATCCTTCAACCTCTACGAGCATAATATTCTTGATTGGTAAAGGCTTCCTGTGAAAATTAACTTTCAGCCGAATCTATGTCACGCATCTTACTTTTGATCTTGACTGTACACTCTACTCTTGGCTCGATCCCTACGCGTGTCTCTCTTATATATGCACCTACATGCCTGTATACATATGAACAGAAGATTTGAGAAAGTGTAATTCCCGGCTCCTCAACGGCTCAATAAAGTTTTCTCTTATGCGGCAGTGTCGGGGGTTGATGAGCTCTGTGGAAGTGGATGCAACGTGTTTCCGAGATTTTTTCTTTGACGTTTGAGAAAGCCGCTTGCTCAGACGACTACGTTCTGCGTTACGCAATAGTGTAACGGCGTGTCTTTAACCTAGATAGTGTCTCGCGTACAGTGAATTGAAGCCACGGTACCGCTTGACAGAGACACGTGAGAATTATTATCGCCTGACCGAGTCGAGCATGTGTTGCAACGTGGCGACACCTGTCGACCATTCGTGCACGTCCTACCTCAAGCCAACGCGAATTAACCCCTTTCCCCTCTGCGTCATTCTGTTCAACCCCTTACGTTCTGCGCACGGACCTCCGAAGAACTTTATGATGTCGGTATTTTATTTTCATTTTATTGCTTC